TTTAGAGATAAATATCAAGTTTATCTTAATTTTATCGATATATAAAAAGCAATAGTGACAAAGGGTATTCAAAACGTTTCCCGAAACTAAAGTTTCGAATGGAATCTTAACGACCGGGAACGCGAAATGTGTTAATGAAATAAAAGTTGTCTGATGTTTTCCTAATATTTATCTTCAAATATTATACACTTGATCAGAAACAAAGGAGATTATTTTAATGTATTACTGACGAGTCGCACAAACGGACACTTCTTTAAACTGAGAACTGTGGCGAATTAGCTTGCAAGTGCGTGAAGGTAACTCATTTATTTTTAATTTTTTACTCGATTTTAATTAGAAGGAAATATATATTCATTTAAACTTCAGATTATGGGAAAATTTTGTGAAAAATATGCATATGGATAATATCATCAAATATTGAATTCGCTGTGATTTTGGCATTTACGTATTTTGGCGTAGATGTTCTTTCAACTCTTGACTATGAACTAAAAAAAATTACCGAGTTTTCTATTCAAGTGAACAAAATAGGTCCTAAATAAGGTAAATTTAGCATTTGCGATTTTTTTAAACGATTTTAAAGCCAAAAGCTGGAACAAATATGTTCCAGCCGTAGTTAACTGTGGGATACATACGTCAGGCACATAGCACATCGACTTAATATAAGCACACCTGTTATTATGGAAAACTTATAGGGAAATGTGAAATAGATTTTACATCGTATGGTATAGGGTGAAGCATTCTTTGCATAACCGAAAATTACACATTGGGAAACATGTCTGCTCTTTTCTCTATGTTCATTTGTGTACAAAAGGAACAGTGGCGTCTTGATTTTCGAACTATTGGAAGATGATCCCCAACATTCAGGAGATTCTAAGAACTTTTGAAGCTAGAAATAATTTTTAAAATTTTAGTATAACATATATGTCCCGTAAGTAGTCAAAGGGTTATTGCATGGACAATTTTACGTGCAAATAATTTTTAAAAAAATTCAATATATGAGGTCACATTTAGATGCAATTGCTGAAAGGATAATAGAAATCATATGTTTATATTTCTTGTTTACTTTGAAAAATGAGTTATTTCTGTTGATAGAGTTCTTTCTGTTAAATCTATTAATTATGTTATAAAACTTCTGGCAAACATTACATAAGCAGTCAGCAAAACATAAGTACAGACCATAACCATTCCGTTCCTTGTTAGATATCTCGATCGTCTTAGAGAACATGCCATTGGCCACTCACAACCAACATAAAACAACTGCTATTTTCTTTTCAAGTACCATCGGTCAATGGTTTTTGTGCAAAACTTTAACCTGTTTTTAGTGATTTGTTTTTCCTTTCGTCAGCTTTGAACACCTGGAAGTTTTTCTTGTGAAATGTTTTATAAAAGAGCCCTTTATATCGTATCATATCTTTAAATTATCATTTCAGGTACATTTCAAGAAACTGCAGATAGTTTGTGTGCCTACTGTTTAGAAGTCTTTCAAATTATATGTGATTATGATTCCTTTGGAAGATAGTAAGCTTCCAAAAATTTCATTATTTGTTTACTTCCTTTAATTTATTCTATTTTTTTTTTTTTGTTCTAATAAAGCTCTCGTCCACTCCGTTGAAAAAAAATCAGTTACCTTGGTTCAGTATTTTATGTATTTGAATTTAGAGTAATGCAGTAGTAAATACATCCTACACATATTAGACAGCAGTTTTAATATAATAAAAGAAACATTTTCAATTGTCATCTAATTCTTATAAGTAGTGGATATTAATTGTAATGTATTAATTTTAACAAATGCCATAAACATGCTGTTAATATTGTTTTTAGTGTTCAATTACTTTTTTGATATGCAACGTTTGGAAAAAGAGTTTGCTCTCAAGTCACACTCCAATTAATTTTGCTCGGATCCAATGAATGTTTAATAGTGACTAAGAGAGAACTGCATCAAAACTTTTTCAAAATAAGCATTTGGTAGTAATTTGGTATATTGTGATCAAACATTTATTGATTACAAAGTAAGAATGAATAGAAAGAAAACAGTTAAATTCCTTTCCATCACATCGTAATAGCTAATTAGATAGTTTGAATAACAGAATAAAAAAAAATAAAAAAATCTTTAGATACGGTAAGTTATTCTAGGAATTAATAAAAAGGATTGAAAGTAGAGCTTCTCGGAATATATTTCATCTGTAATTATATAGCATAATTAACTTTGTCTTATTCCATAACCATTAGCAAATATATCTGTGGTTACGTTATGTACATACATTTCGCAAGCATAAGAAGAGCTTTTATTATTTTCGTATAGTGTTACTTAAGCTAATACATTAGGGTAAGAGGAAACTCATAAATCAATATCATCCTTATTAGATACATAGAAATAGTCTGTTGTTTTACTGACAACAAATATATGAACTCTATTTGAAAAATTATTATATAGAAAGCACCGTGGCCGATTTTCCCCTTCTTTCATCTTTACGTTCACTGAGACTTTACGTTCACTGAGAGAATTTCCCTGCTGTTTACTGTTTGGTAATCCTTGCTGTTTACTGTAGAGTACGTTTTTTCTAAAGGGGTATCAGAAACCCCTACACCGACAATGTTAAATTGGCCATTTTCGATGTACCTTTTCTCAAAATCTGCTGTAGATACAAGCTTGAAATTTTTTCTGTAATTAAAGTATACCTATCTGATTATACTAAAATGAGCTTTTGAAACATTTTGAATTTTAGAGTAAATTACAGAATATTTTGTTAGGCATAGTAAAATTTAGCACTTTTCGCACAAAAAAAAAAAAAAAAAAAAAAAAAAAAAGAAAGAAATTCTAAGTTTATTACAAAAAACTCATTTTAGTAAATATTAGGGAACCTAATAAATAAGCCATAAAAAGTTTAGATACCTGTGAGCAGTAGTTCCTTAGAAAAGGTACATCGAGTATAAAAAAATCACGTTTGGAGAAAAACGTGTTTTTATGTAAAAATCCTCATTGATCAAAGCAGTAGATGACAAATTAAAACTAGATTTTTTTTACAGTTCTAATTTTAATAGAGATTAAAGAATGATATTTGTAGAAAGATAAAAGTGTAGAGAATTTGAAAATGCAAAAATCCCGAAATCGCAATTTTTTGAAGATTTTGGGGTTCTAACACCCCTAAAGCACGCGGCTCTCAGTTCTTCTGCTGTAGGATTTTAACGATAGATTTAAGATAAATAGAAAATTGTAACTTCCGTTACAGAGGCTAATTACCTCGGGCAGCAAGCAAAAGTATTGTGATAAAACTGTTTGCATATTTTGAAGGATTTTTTAAACATACTGTTAGTCTATTCTGCTAAACCTGGCTACAGTTCTATGGTTCCAGATTCTAAATTCTTTACAGCAGGAGAAAAAAATTATCTCCTGATAGCGGCGACTCAAGATTCTAAATCAATATACATAAGCTTGAAATAATATTTAACAATAATTGAAAATTTTAAGTAGTATTATATTACATGAAAAACACCATCAGCTTTGAGGTTTAAGAAATAAATTTATTTATACCAATAAAAAGATTTTTTAGTGTTACAGCCAGTTAGATAATGTTATAAATTTCTAAATGGTATGAAATCAACAATATTAAAAAACAGAAATAAAGAGACAATTTTAATTGCAGAAAATTTCAGTAACTAAAATTACAATTATTCAGCAGTTAGTAACTAAAACTATAATTACTCAACTGCCAATTACCTAATTATTCAAATGATAAACCCATATCACTGAGATTCTTCAACTCTGTTATTTTTTAAAATTTTTTAAAATAAAAATAAATTCAACTCTCTTTTGTAATTATTCAAAATTAAAAAAATTGAACTCTATTTTTTTGGTTTTTAAGTTTTATATAATAATTTTAATTCTAAAAGTTAAATTTCCTGTTTTATAAGACAAAAACATTCCCTTTGATATCATTAAAATATTGCTCCATTTAATTTAATTCTGAACACTGTTGTAATATCTACTTACTGCATCAAATAATCGCAAAAGTATATTTAATAACATAATATTTGCATTTAATTTGCAGATAAAATCTTGCGAGAATTATGATTAATGTTTGAGATTTTTGGTAATAATTTGTTTTATTATTCTCATATAACTAAGCGAGATGTAATACAAAAATTTTACAATGAAATTAAAAATACATTCTTTTACAGCGAGTAATTTTTTTCAATATTTCGGAATTATAATATTTGCGAAAAACGTTAAAGTTATTTTTCCTGGATAATTTTATTTTTCGTATTTGAAATTCGTTGTTATAATAGCATTGTAAAATTTATAATACTAAGTTTTGAACTGTTTTTTGTACTTTTTATTGCTTTAAATTTGTGTAGAAGAAAATAACTAATAATGTTTCTGTTAGACGTTTTCCTAGTACGTGTAATTATGCAACCTAATATGCTTGCAAGTCGTTAAGAGTCTTCAAATCTGTAATTTGATCTAAACAGCAGAAACCTTTTCTTTATCAAAATTATTTGTTTACCGTTTTGGTTTATTTCGCTTTCAATATAATCAAAGCATATAGGCAAAACTTCAGTTACTTCTATCGTGTTCTTAGCCAACAAACTAAGACCTTCCCTGATAATAACGTTACAAAATTTATGAATTACTGTTTTACAGTATTTCTTTAAAAGTCTACTCCTTCAACAAAATACAGAAAATAAATTATGATTTATATGCTATTATAAAATCCTAAATAACAAAGACTTATAGGTTATTTCACTTTCGAGTAGCTTTGAACTAATTCATGATTTATATGATATTTTATTTTTTGAAATCATTGAATAAGAAATAATAAAAAATAACACTTTAAAAAAATCAAATTTTTTAGCGATTAGATTTAGAAATGTGATAAAATTAGTAGATTTAAATAGAAAAAAAGTCAGTTAGATTTATATCTGATCTTCGAAACCCCAGAAGTTTTATATCTATTCGAAATTAAATTTTTTTGTTAAGAAATAAAGAAGTAAATACTTACCCGTAATTGAAATTCTGAAGCACTGTTTCCGTAATTGTTAAAATCTGGCGAATTGTGTTCCGTTGAAGAACTTAAGAATGCTAAGCTCAGGAGGACAATGACTCTAAGGCAAAACTTTCCCACCTGAGTTCCCATTTCCGGCTCGGTGAGCGGCAAGATGACACTGCTGTGCTTTCACTTTGACCACGGACTCCAGGAGAAGAGATTGGAATAAACTCTCTTCCAATCAAGAACAAAGAACACAACGCATGCGCAGTTGGCAAAGGTTTTTGTTAATTTTTCTTCCTTATTATTTGGGTTGCAAAACAGAAATTACTAATTTCTTAACGTTAAGTTATTTTCGTTTATTTTATTATATCTCGGTTTGATTTTACTTGGAAATTTCATCTGTGTTCACTTATAAGTGGATTAAATTTTTATGTTCTTGCTAGAACAGAGAGAAGAAATTTAAGAATTTCTTCTAGTAATTTTGTTGAAATGGACTACGTTACGTAATATTGTTTCTTAATTTCAAGTTATCAATTTTATTGCATCTTAATTCAGTTTTATCAGTAACTGGATTTTTATTAATTTGATTTTATTAACAAATGTTGATTGTTTGATTTAACAAAACTAATTGCTTAAAGTAATTGTTGAAAAATATTTTTTGTAAGCTGTAATTGGTTAACTTTAAATTTAAGGGTAGTGTTAATTTTTAATTTTACTCTTTCAGTATTTAAGATGAATGGCTTATTGCTACGAAATTTTGCTGTAAAATTTTGATTTTTCCCTGTTTCATTTTACAGTTGTGTGAAAGTATAACTAGAGTAGTAATGAAGTAAGTGAGCTGGGCCCAACGCTGGTGTGAGGTTCCTAAATAATTTAAATTCAGGTATGTTTTTTTAGTTGTTTCTTCAGTACCATTATGTTATACCATTATAATACTTCAATACCATTATGTCACCAGATGTTTAAAAAACTTTCAACAATTACTTTAAATGAAACTAATAAAATCAATTTAATAAAAATTAAATTACTGACAAAACTGAATTAAGAAGCAGTAAAACTGATAACTTGAATCTAACAAACAATATTACATAACAATCACATTCGGTATTTAATAATTTTAATTTCAGTTATTCAAGTGATCATCTATACAGTTTATTCATTTACGCAGTTTACCACCATATTCATAAAAAAATAAAAATCAGATATGAATTAATTCATAGAGTAAGTAATTTAATGTAAAAATACGTATTCCAAATATATTAAAATTATTTATTTAAAAAGCATGTAATTTTGAAAATAATAATAATAATAATAATTTGAAAATGTTAATGACACAATGTAAATGCTATTGAATAAAATATTTTATTCAGATGAATCTGTTATCAATATGAACATTAGATAAGCTAACATTCGATTTATGTAAAATCTGTGTAGATTCCTTGTTTGTCGTTGTAGAAATATAGAGTTTATATACATGTGCTGTTGTAGTTTAGAGATTCGCAGACGTGGTACGTTTCGTTTTACTTTTTAGTCATAGTAAAAGTGGTAATACATGTAACATATAGGCGCAATAGATGTCGTGAACACTTAGAAGAACCTTGGATAATCTAGGATAATCACTTGGATAAAATCTTGGATAAGCAGAATATAACTTTATTACTTCATAGTAGCGATGTTTAAACATCGTATTGAGTATAACGGCATGATGGGGGCAATCGGCTCACAAAATTTTAAAATAATCACTCACACACACACACACACACACACACACAAAAAAAAAAAAAAAAAAAAAAAAATAGAATAGGAAAAAAAGCGAAGTGAGAGACATGGCTCATTCATGCAGCAGCAAGGAAGGAAAGTAATGCATACATAACTGCAGTCGTATTTATAAGCGGAAATTTTTGTGTGTTAATCCTGAGCAACGACTGGGATAAAGATTTTGCAGGGCAGAGAAACTGCAGGGAGAGAATGACGTAACATCCTGCAGAGTGTCAAAAATAATGCAAAATGTATCGTTGAAGCAGGGTATGTTAAATTAAAGTTTATAAATTTAAAGGTATATTGTCTTACAGTTCCAATTAAATTAAATAATTTTGTCTCTTATTTTATATTTTACATATGAAATATATATATTTCATTTTTTTACACTTATATATGAAATTCAACATTCTATTCTTGAATTTTGTTTGTATTTAATTTAAAATTGTCATGCTGGCTTTCGTTACACAAATTAAACAAATTAGTCATAAACTGGAAATTTGAAAAAAAAAAAATGAAATTTACCCAAAGAGCGTTATCTAAAAGAATATAGCAAATGACACATCAACACATATTTTTAAATATATTTGAAACGCAATCCTACAGAAATATAGCAATATATTTTGATATTAAGGTCCACAGCTACTTATCTAGAAATACTTTTATACGTAACATAAAACTTTCTTAAATGTTAGTATTGAAATTTTGCTAATTACACTGCTGTAAGAAAATCATGTTTTAAACGTAGTCAAAAATGACATAATGCAAGTCTTAATGCTCCACAGCGAAGAACGTATAGTTTCTGCAAGCGAAAACACGTTAGTAGCATGACGATTTCCGGATAAGAAATTTTGGTATACTTAATGTATGGGCATGGTAGAGCCAGTTGAGATATAGAAATGTTAAGTGCAACGTTTTCGAAGTTCGTAATTCCAGTGAAAGTACTACATTTTCAAATTGCAAGATGATTAGACATCTAGAATTCAGATGGATCACAGAGTTTACTAATATTCAACAGTTCTCTTTCTCTCATCCAAAGTTAATTTTGAACCCAAATTTAATCCAGAAGGGGCGCCTTCTTTCAACACTTTGCACACAAAAGGGAAAAAATAATGTAATAACTCTAATTTGGCTGCACATGAACATTTCAATTACAGCTGGACGAATCATTAAACCTTTTTTTAACTGTGCTTCTATACATACCTTCTATACGTACAATATGAAGAAAAATTGAGATGTGTTACATTCATTTTACATTCTACAAAAAAGGATACCTTCTTACGGCCTGGTATAAACTATTATAATAAGAAATAGATAAACGAAGGAAGATGTATTTTTCAAGAGCTCCATGTTAGCAACTGTTTGTGACAGCGTCTTTAAATTATAGTGTTGTAGAGTTTCTTAGTTTGTAATTCTAAGTTAATTTTGAAAGTGAAGAATCTTAACTGATAAGTGAATAATCTCTAAAGTTCGGTTGACAAGAAACAAGAAGATAGAACGGTAACTCACCCTTTATTATTCCAATAAGATTTAACAAAACTCCGCTTGGCAGTGTACAAACAAAACTCGCACTTGGGCTTGAACTTAAAAGACTAAGAATTAAACTAAAACTAAGATTAACTAAAGAAGTAATAGCCGAAGCTATCAAGGTTCAAATTGAGCTGGCCCCTTAATGTATTTGACTACGAAGCTTAGCTAGGGCCTGAATACGGCCGGGCGTAATAACAGCTTGAGAGAGAGAGTGGCAAAAAGGCAGACGCGCGTAATCAGAAATCTCTGATTCTCTCTGACTCAGTAAGTAACTCGTGGTTTAAATACCACTAAGCTCATTAGATATGCAGCAAGATTCCAAAATACGTTCTGCCCGGAAGTAGTAAGCTGAAGTTAAGAATTTGACAGGAAAGGATCTTTAACTTAAAATTTAACTCTTAATAAAATTAACATAATCTTTACAGTGTTATGGCCCACCAGCGGCCGAGCGGTAAAGTCGCTGAACACTGGTAGTTCGGTCCGAGGTTCGAATCCTGCGAACAGGCTGGCTGCATGGGCGTTTTCGTGGTTTTCCCCATGTGTGACGTGTATACGAGCCAGTTTCCCTTAGAAAGTCCTCCCCGAAGGCATCCCTTCCCTTAGGCAGATAGCCCTAGTGTGCTTTGCCATAATTAAATACACAACAAACAATTTACTGTATTATAAAAAGGTACTCGAAATTAAATGCCTTTGAAGTAAAGTGCTAAAAGCTCGTCTCAACAGCTATTAGTTATTGCGACGTAGTTCTAACGCTATCCGGGTATTTTTGATCAGATGAAGCCACTCATGTATTTTTTTTCTTAATAGAAAATAATGCTTCAATTCACGTAATATATGCTTGTTTGAATAGCGAAAGTTTTTAAGTTAAGGAGTTGTCAGCAAGGTCTTGAAAGCAAGGTAAGTGTTATATTATATGGTGCTAAAGGTAAAAATGAAATAGAATTAAGTGTAGTGAATTAGAATTAACTGAGCACCAAAAATAGTCATTTGGCGTTTTTTGAATTAAAGGATTAGCAAATGTAAATCAAATGAATTGCTTACTTAGTAAATCGCGTTATGTAGCAATAACCCATAAATACTTACTAACGTGCAGATCAAAAAGTGTGATCTAGAAGGAAATATGAAATCAAAGTACTTACCCCAAAGTATGACAACTGTATGTTACCAAATCAATTATATTTTATTCTTCATCCTTGATATTGAAATAAGCATTAATATAAATAAAATTATCGACCAGACAGAAGAATAAATTTGAACATCAAGCACGAGTGATGCGCCTCACCAGAGTTAACGTTGCACTCAGAATAAAGTCAATCTTTCTCGATCCGCTGAAAACAAAGTCTTGGTGTAAAAGGAACAATCAAACTTTGAAGGCAGTCATTAAGCATACTTGATCAATCCTGGTATTTTTGCAATTTCTTCTTTAAATCAGGAAATTTCAGATCTTACAAACGCGTGCGCGCGAAGAGTTCTCGAAAGGAGGAAGAAGCTGAACCAAAAATTATTTTCTGCAATGATGTACAGGAAACAGGAGTAATTATTTTCTTGAATCTTTATGTAAAAAATCTCGCTAAAAGGATTTTTATGTATGGCAGACAGCATCGAAGGAACAGCAAAAAGAAGCACGAAAATGGCACATCGCATCGGCCAGGGAGAGGACAGACTGAAGCCCGTCCTACACCCTCGAACATCAGCAGCAGAAGAGCGAGAAAACCGGTTGTTGCAATCTTTTTCGTTGTTGTCCTTGAGCGGTTGCAGATAGCACACCTGACGCTGAATAATGTGGAGACATGGCTGCACAGTAAGGCTAATAAAGGCAAGTAAGGTATGTCCAATAAATATACTGTAAGAAAACAAGTAACTATCAGCAACAATTTGCGGCAAGACAAATCTTGATCATCA